GGGGTGGTCAAGCAGTTGCTGGGAATGAATTTATATCTTGACAGTCCGCATCCTCGGGCAGGCCTGGAGTGGGCAGGAGGGCTCCCACGTCGTCCCCACGGAAAGAGATCCAAGGGGCTAAGCAGAGAGGAAATGGGGAGTTGTCAGAGAATCTCTCAGATCCTGTGGGTCTCTGACCACCCCTCTCTCATGAGCATATCTCTCTGTCTCTGTCTTATCTCTGGGTCACTCTCTCCTCCCTCTCCTGCCCCTTTCCCCCTCCTTGGGCTTCTGTCATCCCCTCCCAGCCATTCTGTGTCCACACCCCTCTCTGGCTTCTGTCCCTCTCTAAGTCTCTGTCCTCCCAGGTCAGTGTCCTCCTCTCTTCTGAGGTCTCTGTCCTCTTTCCGAGGCTCTTCCTCTTTGTGGCCCACACCTGGCAGCCCATTCCTCATCCTCCTCCACAGCAGAGCTCCTCCTGCAGCCACTGCCGTGAGCAGCAAGAAGCCAATGATGATTCCGACCACAGGCACCGAGGACTTGGCTGGCGACTCTGCAGCCAGAGAATGCTGTGAGATGTCGAAAAGACCCTCCAGCCCCTGGTAGTCAGGGCATGGAACTGGGGGGTCCTTGTTCCTCCCAACCCCCGAGATTCCCCCCAGCACCAAGTGTCTGGGGATCAGGGTGGGCTGAGGAAAGATCAGAGAGGTGATGTCCTGGGTTTGAGTAGAATGTCCTCAGGTTGGATTAAGAACATAGCAAGGGGCTGGGGACCTGGCTTAGTTGGTAGAGTGCTTGCCTTGATGGACAAGGCCCTGGGTTCAATCCCCAGCACCAAAAAAAAAAAAAAACATATTGAGAAAGGGCTGTCACACTGATGAGGGCCCAGCTGCAGCAGGGTGGGCAGCAAGGCAGTACATGATCAGTCTTGGTAAGGATTGGCATAGCTAGAATACAAATGATTAGACTATGAAGACCAGCAGAGCAGGATGGAAGATGGCCAGATTCAGGATGACCGGCTGCAGTGGTTAACAGGTGATCAAAGTCCATAAGGCCAGGGGCAGCAGAATAGAAGGCAGTCAGACTTGGGGACAACAGGCATTAGCAGGCACAATGCAGTCAGACTAAGAAGGAAGGCCAGACTCTGGAAGGTCACAGGGCAACAGAAATAGGGAGGACTGTCACTCAGTGGGACCTCACCCAGTTCCACGGTGAGGGGCTGTGCCAGCCCCGCATGCTGCACAATGCAGCAGTAGTGATGCTCATCGCCACTTTTGACGATGAGTGATGACCAGGCATGGAAGGAGCCATCCCCATTGGGACCAAAGCCGCCCTCTCCAGAGCCAGCTGCCAGCCCATTCCTCAGGAACCTAAGCTGCAGCTCCGGAGGGTAGAAGGAGAAGGCACTGCAGGTGAGCACGGAAAAGCCAGGGCTGCTGGGCCGGGCCTTCAAGCGCATGGATGGTGGCTCTGCAGAAACACAGGGGCATGCCTGAGGCCCAGCCTGGGGCCCCAGGGCCAGGTGCAGTGCAGGGCTGGGCAGAAGGGGAGAGCCCTCCATTCCTTTGCCCTGTACTGTGACCAGCATGGAGAAGAGTGGCCAAAGGGGAGGGCCCTTCCAGGGCTACAGAGACCCACCCCTCCCACCCCAAGAGCTCCAGCCTCAAAACTCCACCTCTCATCCTTTCTTCCCTGCAGTGGAAGTGAATCAGGTGCCCAACACCATTCAAAGCACTGGGGACAAAGCAGTGAACCAGACAAAAGACATCATCCTCATGGAGCTCAATCAAGGCAAACAGACAAAATGTGTGTAAATGGAAGAGAGGGCTGGGAACGTGGCTCAGTGGTACAGCCTTTGCCTGGCATACATGAGGTCCTGGGTTCAACCCCCAGCACCATTAAAAAATCTAGGAAAGGGACATAGGCTATGAAAGTGTCAGATGAAGGAACATGAGACATACTCTTAAGCCACTAAAAAGAAAGTAAGAGGATATTATGAAAAACTTCCCACAAACACATCTGAAAATTCAAATTAACTACACATATTCCTGAAAAACACAACCTTCCAAAACTGACACAAGAAGAAATTAAAAACTTAAGTAGTCCTGTCAAAAAAAGGTTTTCGTCTAGGGCTGGGGTTGTAGCTCAGTGGTACAGTGCTTGACTAGCATGCGTGAGGCCCTGGGTTCGATTCTCAGCACTGCATATGAATTTTAAAAAGTTCATAAACAACTAAAAATATACATTAGATTTTTTTAAGTTTTATTCTATTTTTTTTTTAACATTTATTCTTTTAGTTGTAGTTTGGACACCATGTCTTTATTTTATTTATTTATTTTTATGTGGTGCTAAGGATTGAACCCAGGGCCTCGCACGTGCTAGGCGAGTACTTTACCACCGAGCTACAACCCCAGCCCCCATCTATATTTTTATATTTTCAGTGAATAAAATTCAAGGTCCAGGGTTGGAGTATAGCTCAGTGGTAGAGCACTAGAGGTGCTCCATCCCCAGCACCATAAAAATTAAAAGTAAAAAAGAAAGAAAAGACAGGCCTAGTGGCAAATGCCTGTAATCCCAGCACCTTGGGAAGCTGAGGAAGGAGGATCAGAAATTCAAAGTTAGCCTAAGCAACTTAGTGAGGACCTCAGCAACTTAGACCCTGTCTCAAAAGAAGAAAAAAAAAAGGGGTGCTAAGGATGTGGCTCAGTGGTTAAATGCATCTGGGTTCAATCCCCGGCACCCCACTCCCCACCCAAAAAAAAAAAAAAAAGGAAAGGAAATCTAGGTTAAGATGACACACAAATTAGTGATTTATTCTTCAAAGCAATGAAGGAAGAATTCACAAAACTTCCCCCCATACTGAGATTGAACCCAGAGGAATCCTACCACTGAGAAACATCCCCAGCCCTTTTTATTTTTTGAGACAGGGTCTCACTAAGTTTCCCAAGGCTGGCCACAAATTTGTGATCCTCCTGCCTCACATCCTGAGTCACTGCAATTACAGGTGTGTGCCACCAACACCCAGCTCAAACACTGCTACTCTTGCACAAACTCTTCCAGAGAATAGCAAAAGAAGAAACATTTTCGAGTAGATCTTATGAAGCCAGAGCACAGTCTTTAATCTTTTTTTTGTTGTTGTTGTTTTAAGTACTGGGGAATCTCCCTCCAGGCTCAGTGGTAGAGCATTAGAGGTCAAACATGTTAGACATCCCCAGCCCAAGGCCAGCACAGTCTTGGTAACACCTTCACAAGGACACTGTAAGAAAGGGAATTTATGCCTAGTGTCTAAAAATCCTTAAATATAATATTAGCAGATATAATCCAGTGATTTATTAAGGAACAATACATCATGATTAAGTGAAATTTATTCCAGGAACGTAAGGTCCATTTGACATTGAAAAACATCAGTCAATATGATTGACCGCCTTAACAAAATAAAGGGGAAAAAAAGTAAATGGTTATTTGATAAAATTTAATACCATTAACACCTTTCAGGGTGCTGGAGGCTCAATGGTTAAATGCTTGCCTAGCATATGCAGGCCCTGGACTCCATCTACAGCATTGAAAAAAAAAAAAAATCTTCTAGAAGAAAACGTAGGAGAAAGCCTTCGTAACACAGACAATGAGTTCCTAGATATGCTGGCTATGACCCTGAAAACCCGAGCAGCAAGGCAAAACTAGACAAGGGGACTACCAAACTGAAAAGGGAACCATCCAGTGAAAAGGTCATCTATGGGACAGCAGAAAATATTTGTGAACCATCTATTTGATAAGAGGTTAATTTCCAAAATATACAAGGAATTCCTACAATAGCAACAACAACAAATCCAGTTAAAAATGGGCAAAATGGGACTGGAGGTGTAGCCTGGAAGTAGAGCATGCCTGAGGCCCTGTGTTCCATCTTCAGTAATACCCCCCCCAAAAAAAAAAAAACGTTAAAAATTGAAAAATGGGTAAAAGGGATTTGAGCCGCCTGCCAGGGCTGGGTGTTGCTTTGGGAGTTCCCTCCAGCAAGGGTGGATCTCAGCAGTCTCAGATCTTGGTTGGGATCTTGGTTATAGGTGCTCAGCAGAAAACAAACTCAGCACTCTTGCAAAGTGGGAAGCCACTCAGTGTTTCTCTCCCAGACTTGCTTTTCCAGCGAGTTGGCAGAATTTGCTGCCCAGTAAGGTCAGCTGGAAGGGACCAGTCTGTGGTCATCAGCAGTTCTGTGTCGGATCTTGTGTTTACCGTTGTTTTCCAGCAAATATGTATTGTCCTGGGTGTTATACCCCCTGCCACACCCCTTTTGCCTCTAAGGTAACATATTTACAACTTGGGCTAAGTTCAAGCACGGAAAATATGTCTGGCCTTTGGTTTTGCTTAGCAAAAACAAAACAAAGCAAACAAACAAAACCCCTGAGTAGTGGTTTCAGTGAACAGTTTTGTGGGTGATATAATTTCTATAACCTGCCCCTTACCTTTCATCATATTCTAATTTAGATTAAGATTTAAGATTGCTGGGCATGAGACAGGAAGATCCCAAGTTCAAAGCCAACCTCAGCAAAAGCGGGTACTAAGCAACTCAGTGAGACCCTGTCTCTAAATAAAATACAAAACAGGGCTGGGGATGTGGCTCAGTAGCAGAGTGCTTGCCTAGCACAAGTGAAGTACTGGGTTCAATCTTCAACACCACATTAAAAAAATAAATAAATAAGGGCATTGTGTCCATCTACAACTATATATATATATATGGTATTGTGCCAACTACAACCAAAAAATAAATAAATATTTAAATAAAGATTTAAGGGCTGGGGCTATGGCTCAGCAGTAGCGCACTTGCCTGGCAAGTGTGAGACACTAGGTTTGTTTTTCAGCGCCGCATATAAATAAATTTATAGGGCTGAGGATGTGGCTCAAGCGCTAGCGCAATCGTCTGGCATGCCTGCAGCCAGGATTCGATCCTCAGCACCACATAAAAATAAAGGCATTGTGTTGTGTCCATCTACACCTAATAAAATAAATATTTAAAAAAAATTCTCTCTCTCTCTTTAAAAATAAATAAATAAATAAATAAATAAATAAAAAAAATAAAGGTCCATGCACATCTAAAAAAATATTTTTAAAAAAGCAACAAAAGCCAGGTGTGGTGGTGCATGCCTGTAATCCCAGTGGCTCAGGAGGCTGAGGCAGGAGGATCTCAAGTTCAAAACCAGCCTCAGCAACTTATCGAGGTCCTAAGCAACTCCACAAGACCCTGTCTCTAAACAAAATATTTAAAAGGGACTGGGGATGTGGCTCAGTGGTTAAGCACTCCTGGGTTCAATCTGCAGTACCCACCCTCCTCGCCCCCCCAAAAAACCGGCAACAACAAAAAAATAAAATAAAACTAGGCAAAGGACTTGAACAGACATTTCCCCCAAAGATGAAATACAAATAGCCAACAGGTATATAAAAAAAAATCCAACAGAATAGAAATGAAAATCACAGTGACATTTTACCTCACACTTAATAATGGATGGCCATCAATCAAAAACAAATAAATAAATGAACAAATAAACAAACAAAATAATAATAACAAATGTTGGCAGGGATGTGGGGAAATTGGAACCTTTGGGTTAGTGGGAATGTAAAGTGGTGCAGACACCATGGAGTTTCCTAAAA